CCCCACCATAGACACCTGCGGTCCAGAGTTTTGCAAATATCTCAGCAACGTTGTGGTTGTATTTCGCTTAGTACCCTGCCGCAAAATTATAGTAGGCAGAAAATAAAAAGGTATAGCAAAGTTTATATACTTAAAATTTCACTCATTTAAGCGTGGTAGCCCTGAAAACCAATGGTATTTGGAGAGTATCATCGCGTTCTGCTAGAAAAAACCCTGCTTGCTCAAATGCCTTCGTGCTTTCGACGAAAAAGCAAAAAAAAACTTCACATCGGCTTTAGAAAACCAGAAATTCACCTTCTGAAAGTGAATGAACTTATTTCTTGTAAAGATTGAAACTATAGATATTAACGATTTTAAGCGTAATTAATAAACTTCAATACGTTCTCAAGGCATTGTCCGGCTTTGTATGCTCATGAACGACCGGACGCCATTGTATTGATTAGGCTAAGCGACTGACATGTAAGTAGTAACGTCACGTTTCCCTTTATCGTCCTTGACTTTGAGCAATTTGATGCGCATCTCCATGTTCTCTTTCATTCGCCCGATGAGGGCGATGGTGAAGACGAACAACAGCACGCACGGAATCGCCTGGAAATTCGAAATCGATGGAACTCCCAAAGGTTGCTTATGCTAATTGGAAAGCCTTAAATATAAACATTGAAATGTAGAGTTTTTACTACCTTTAAAAATATTCCAGTAAGCCACAAATTTCCTTTCATTAGGAGGCAACCGTTCTCTAACATCATTTCCGAGAAACCGATACTGAAAAAACTTAATCATATTTATCTTAATTTCGTTTAAAAGTCGGAGCTTCACTGTTCTGAAAATAAGAAAAAATAAAAAAAATAAAGAGAGTGAAGACCAAGGAAAAAATAAGAAAAATTCCTAGAAATAAGAGCCTGCAAATTATTAAGATGTTATGGATCTTAGAAAACAACTTTTAATTGTTTGTTATGCCAAACATTCAAGAATGCTTCTTTTCTATTTCCATTGGAAAAGAACGTTAGGAACCAAATGGTGTGGCAGAAAATATTGTGAAAAGATGGATACTTATGAGAACTATAAATGAAGAAGAATATGTGTTGGTAGTGCAAAGGTTAGAAGTGCTCTTTGGTACATACTAGATATATCACTGGTTCGATCCATTGTAAGGATAGGATGTTTAGGTCATATATTTAATCAGTCTCGTGCAAGAGTATGACGGAATCGAATGCTCAGAGCATCCATCAAAGATTGATAAAAGCCAAATCTCTATTCTTTACTCTTCTGCACATAAAACATCTTATTTGACACTTCACTGCGGCCCCATATTTAATTTTTGGCAGAATTTCTATTGATTTGATACTGATTTAAGCCTACTTACTCATTTATGTAACTGCTAATTGCCTAGGTGATTTTCAATATAACACCTTTCTTCTGACGATAACTAATAGACCTTTTAAAGTCACAAGTCCCTCGATGGTTTTTCGCCCTATCTAACTCGCGAAGTGTTTTTAGGGTCCCGAATAGATAGCGGTTAAAGCAGATGGTTTGCCTAGCAACATGGTACGCCGAACTGATGATGAGGTCGATGTTTTCATCGGGAGGCCCAGGTTAAATGTATATCCGTGGAAACGGACAATCCAGAGAGCGCGATCTGTGGCTAACTTCTTGCCGAAAACGCTAGGAATAAAGTACCTCAATTTCAATACTACGATATACTTGGGAGGTGTCGGATGAGTGGGAGCACACTAAGTGGTTGTGTTGTGCAGCAGCGATGAATGAACATTTTGCTGAGTACCCATTCGAGTAAAGCTATGATTAAAGACATTAGAGATTATGTAGATGAAAGAACAAAGTGTTTTCAGGTTAGGAATCCTCAGCAAGCAATCACTCTATAGTTTTCTTTTGTAGTGGATGTAGAATTCACATAGCACATCGTATGCGACATCGTATTGAAGTTACAATTTAGTTAGTTTTTGAACTAATGAATGAAATTTACCAAAAATCTTCTATATACCTGTAACGAGTTAAAATGGTTCCTTGTGTGGAAACGGAGTTTCTGTGGATGATCTCATGGGCCAAAAGTGTCGGCACACATAGCACAAACACTGAGATCGCAATGCCGATGGCAGCAATTCTGGAAAAATTTCCAGTAAGAAGAGATCTAGAAATTCTTAAGTGAGAAGGCATTACACGTTGTCTGGCTGTACAAATCAAATAGTTTCGTCTTATCAACAAACACTCCTCTTGTTTCCGGAAAGAAATAGGAATTTCCTAGGATACGGAGTGCTTTCGAATCATTCAAAGTTCTCTCCAGAAGACGTCGACAGTTGTATGTCAATATCACCGACATCAGCGAACTTCATAATCTAATCACAATTGATCTACAAAATATCAGCTCATTATTTTCTCTATCATTTTCGATAAAAACATTCCGAGCACTCTAATCTAAGCAAAACCCAAAATCTTATGATTTCTAATTATATGTGAAAATGACCTGGCTTCTTATTGCAACACTTACCTTTACAATGGTAATTACAATGGTATGTCTCGTCATATGCTGACTTTTATTGGGATCCTAGCTGGACCCTCGAAACCTTTGCCGTATCTTTAACGAGACTTTTTCTATATTTTATTTATCCGGTCGATTTCTTAAGTTGAATTAAAGCTTCCGATCCATATGTGTTTTACGCAAAAACGAAGCTGGTCTTCCCACTTTTTCCAATATACCTGCAGCCGAATTTTACAATAGATTGGGTAACCCGATGGATCAACTCATGCAATTGGTTTCTTTACTATGTAATCACTTTTCATCTACTGCCTATTCTTTTTTCGTGGATAGGTATGATGTGAAATATAATCACAGTGATCCTGAGGTATTTGCAAAACTACGGGCCTCACGTGTTCGCGGTGGAGATCGAACACACTATCTTCCTTCCCGGAGGCTAACGCGATCACCACCACACTACGCGAATCCTTCGTTTCGTCTTTTCTCAGTTGTGTTTTATATGTGCTGTTAGTAATTACCCGTCAACGGGATTGGTCTGAGGAGCACAAATCGGCATTCAACCCAGTTAAGCTGAAGCTGTAGTACAAATCACGATGTACTCATCTTTTATTTACTACCTATTCTTTTTATGCCAGCGTATGATGACTAGTAATGATCCGCATCGTGTGGTGATGAACGCATATTAGACCCGGAAAGGATAACATCATGTTCGATTCCCGCCCCAGATCCCTCCTGCTGTCCGGAATTTTGTAAATATCTCAATATCACTCGTATATAATGCTGATATGTGTTTTCTTTTTAATGGAAGGGTATGTTGCGAAATATAACTCGTATATAATGCTGAAATATTTGCAAAACTCCGGACCGCAGCTGTATGCGGTGGGGGACGAACGCGCTATTGTCCTTTCCGGGGAGTAGCGCACTTCAGATATCTCAGCATACGAGTTATATTTCGCAACATACTCTGCCATTAAAAAAGGCAGTAAATAGACGGGCTAAGATTGTGATTATAACTAAGCCTCAGCTTAACTGGGTTCAACGCCGATTTGGGCTTCCCAGATCAATCCCGTTGACGGGTGATTGCTGATGGCAAAAGATCAATAGAACTAACTGAGAGGCAGACAACACGAAGAACCCGGACGGTGTGGTGATGAAGTGCGCTGCTCCCGGTAAGGACAACAGCGCATGTTCGTTTCCCACCGCGTACACCTGCGGTCCGGAGTTTTTCAAATATTTCATCATTATATAAGAGTTATATTTCGCAACATACCCTACCATTAAAAAGAAAGAGGCAGTAAATAAACGGGTTAAGATTATTTCAATATCATTGTGGTCTCTCCGCTGTTTAGGACATACAATGGCAGTTATAGTTCAAGAAAGTGTACGATACGTCTTGTAGAGAAGACAGTTTTTCACTCTTTTGTAGAATTTTTTAAGGACTCTCCATCATTTCCCATTACAACGAATCGAAGACGCACTATTAAGAGTTACATAACTATGTCTCAGTGAGGGAATACAAATATTTTTTCTGATGCCGTTGTTTACGAAAATAGCTTCAGTTTGTACAACTAATATTCATTGTTATAGCTGAATTTGTCATTTTTCGTTGTTACTGAGTTCTAAGACAAATTCTTTCTGAACAATTCTTACATTGCTCTTCTAGAGCGTAGCCACTCAGAAGAAGAGACTCGCATCGCACTGAATCGAATGAACGCCATCAGAACGACCAAGTAGAGTGTCACGGCATGAAGTGCAATGGATATCATCACGTGGATCTGAAAAGAACAGTTGTTGGATAGCTCTATTTGGACAGTGACTTTTAGTTCACGTAATAATTTGGTTGAATCATTGCTGAAGAGCTGAGTTTGTTTCGGAAAGAAAAAAATCATGAAGAGGTAAATACAACGTAGGAACTCGGCACTTGTGACTTCGATATACATACAATCTACAGATTTTTTGTCAAAATGGTTACATCTAGCCTTCTGGGATTAAACGAATATTTTTGAGTGCATGTCCATTGTGAGGGCATTTGGCACAAAGTTCCTTGGTCTTGTAGCAACTTGGATACATGAGCTATCCCACCGAGTCATGCGGTCGCTAGCATATTTTCGAATCTTTTCATTGTTTTGTAATTGCCATTTGTTTCCTACAAACATGGTGAGCCTGCCTATGATTATCATTCTCTGATGCTGAACTGCGTACAGCTTGTTGACATGACGACAAATATATTCGAACATTTTTTAGGCGATTAGGCGATAGAAAAGGTAAGTCCTTATTTAGAGACCAAGCGAGTGCACCATACTCTGCTTTTCTGCAAGTGGTCTTCAGTGTCCAGTGAACGCTCTCAGTATACTGATGATGCGACCTGTGTAACCAAAGAACATGCCACCTTGACTTGGTTTCTGTGACATCCTGTGTTTGTCCTAAACTAAGTATTCCTCCAATTTATGAGCAATTCTTCGCTTCTTTGAGTAGCTTGAACATCGTGCATTATTCTGGAAAGTATGACCATATCTTCAACAGTGCTGTGGTTTCACAGAGTTTTTCCGTCAACGCTCTTTTCAACCACCCATCTCAAATTGGTCCAATCAATAAAATAAGGTATTGATTTTCCACTACGGCGTTCAGTAAAACTTGAGTTTGATACAACTGGTCTGCTATTTGTGTGCCAACACTAATTCGATTGCTACAAGATAAACTGTCGCCATAAAAGAAATAATCTTTCTCGGCAATTGACCGAGGACCTTCCTTCATCTCGGGGATCTGTCGAGTGAAATCAAACCACTTCAGCGAGGCAATAGCCCTGTATAAAAGGACAGCGCTTTGGACGCTACTACATACGTGCAGTGTTCCAGTCCACTCGATTATACTCGATATGACGAGTACGAAGACCCGCATCGCAAGATGAGACATCCGCTGTTAACACTGGTCTCAAATCCCCCCGCTCCGAAGAAAGCGGAACCGCCGAAATGTTAGCTGCTGTAGGAATCTGTAGTAAGCTTGTCTAAGATTATCACTAAGAGGAGATATTGATTATTTATGACGATGCTCAACGAAAGCTGCTATTAAAATTACTGCTTAGATTGACAAGATCTCTTGTAAGTCGAAAAGGTGGAAAAGGTTAGTTTGTATGATAAAGTCGACGCCAAGCACTTTTTCAACACGGAGAGTAAGGTTCCTTTCATTTAGGTGGCGGATTTCTGACTTCGCGCGCTTGGGTTCCTATTTAGCGATCACGAAAATTTCCATGTGATGAGGGTTCATTAGTGAAGAGTGAAGAGGGGGTCAGAAGCGTTCCGACCTTGCAGGTACAGAGCAAACTCAATGCCATTTCACGGACTTGTTGTTCATTCCTCATTTCAACTGACATTCTGTGACAACGAAAATTTCGTGCCATTTCGCCACATTGTCACTTTCTGATGTCATCAGGCCCTTTTTGCAGCACTGAGGAAGTTTTATTAAGCATTGCTCAGGTCAATCAGTCGTTCGGTTTGTCGTAACTTTTAGCTATTACAAGAATTTAAACCATTCGGGACCAATTATTACTAACTATGACGGAGTTGAGCACCTTCAAAAAATGCTGAGTTGGTTGTTCTTTTTAAAAAACAAAATATTCTACAACCTAGGTGTTTTCTCAAGAAGACTTTATTAATATCCGGATCAGTTCCTACTATGAGTGCTCAGCAATGCGTGTTATCTTCGAGGAGACTCACAAAGTGTCAGCATTAAACCAACAACAAACGACGCTTCAGCCTTTAATGGGGTTTCAGTGACATGAAACACGAGCCACTAATGCCACATGTCACCGGCGACGAGAAATCTTCCGCAGCTTCGCTTCGTTCTTGAGAACTAACAACACCCGGCGGACAGTTGAAAGCAAAGCCACAGGTTGGAGAAGTTCTAGGAAGAGGTTCTAGGACTTCAAAAGCTTTTCTGCATTGCTTAAATTGCTTACCGTTTTAAACCGTCATATAATCATATCTAGTAATTGGTATATATTTTGAAATAATACGTCTACCACAGTAATTATAGATAAAACAACAAGACTAAACACTTTTCCAATAAAAACCTGCCATTAAATACTAATTATACTTGTTGCTGAACAAGAAAACGACGTATTCATACTAATCATACCTTCAAAAATAACGCCCATCCATATGGATAGCCGTTTCGATCGCCCATGAACTCGAATCGAATCATATAAATCTGAAGATTTTATCAGTGATAAGGCAATGCGGAAGGAAAGCGTTGGACTCGTACGATGACTCACCAAATATGATGACATTGTGCCCATGTCCGAAACGGCTATACACACAAGTACAGTATGCACCGAACTGAATCGCATTCGAGGTCGCGTCAGGACCCAGATATGGATTGAATTGGCGAGTAAACCGAATAAGCAGAGTAGAACGGCAATATAGCGATGAAAACGTGAATAGGTCCTAAATGGCACTCAATTTTATGTGCAAAAATGCTAAAGGGGGTTCACAGAGAAAAAGGTTTCGAATTCCAAGGTGTTTTAGACTGAGATTATTTTTTAAGAATAGATAATATTAGTACATCTTTCTACGCGGAAGTAACTTGTTTTCAAGACGTCGAACAATGGTGAAACAAATTCGTAGTTGTGAGAACAGCGTTTTGAGGGAACTAGTAATTTGACTCACTTTTACTTCAAGGGTGAGGTAATTCGAGCAGGTTTCCGTTCCCAGGCTAATATAAACGAGAAAGTTAAATTGGAAAGCTTCGATTACCTCAGTGTTTTTCAGCACGTCCCAATTCTCTGTCAGATGAAAACACTTTGGCTAATAATGAAAAGTTGTTCATAAAAAATGAAAGCGAGCAGCTCTTTTCTTTCAGCTGCAGTTGTGTAATGAGAAGAATAAAAATAGCTTCATTTCAGATAAGAAAGCACCCTGAACGATAATGCAGCAGAGACTTACTGCTGGAATAGAAATAACGTCTCTAGGAGATTGTTCGTAAAGTTATTGGTGACGTCAAAGATCGGCTGATCTTTGCAGTCCATCTGAAATCAGTCATTTCTGCTCTAGAACCTCACGTTGCACAGGAGGACGACGAAAAAACGAAAGGAAAAAAAAAGAAACGGGAGATGAACGGTTGGCTGAGAACGGTAGTTCTAACCGACGTCGTGGCAGCAAATCGGATAAAAGTCTGCTTACGTCGAAATTTAGATCACAAGTGGAAGAAAAGTCAATGATTAACTTGTTCCAGAATTGGTTAAAAATCCCTGCATCTTAGCGTTTCCTGACAAAAAAAGGATTTTGGCCGTATCGCCTATGCAAGTTTTCCAGTTGTTCTCTTTTCAACGAAAATTCTAAATTCTATTTAAACGATGAAAAGTTCCCCAAATTCTTCGTTGATCATTTATCATCTGCGTACCAAAAGGAAAGTGAGATGTAAAAGTGATAAAAAAGTATGAAAACGTTAGAAAAAGAAACGATGAAATGTAATTCGATTTTTCAGCATTTCCTGTTAAAAAGGGAATGTGACGAAAACGAGGAAGGAAAGGAATGAGTCAGAAAAAGTTTTGAACGGCATGAAGGACAGGGCATAAACGCATCTTATCAAAAATGAATGGAAATGGTGTAAAAAGAAAAATCGTGGAAGGGCTCAAACGATTGCAAGACGTTGATGTACACATATCACTATCCAGAAAATGCAATAAAACAGGAGACGTTCTTTCATTTCGTAGAAAAGAACTGATTCAAAGAAGACTTAAAGGAGCGCACCATAATTAATGTCAAAATTGAATTGCAGAACTGCAATGGTTTATATTTTTTGGTTGAACTTTCTCAAAATACTTGCATTCCAAAAAACGAAAATAGAAACTTCATAGCCACAGCAATGCTGGTTCAGGAAGATAGTGCAGTCCGCCTGGCCTAGTCCGTGAAGCGCCAACGTTCCGTTTCATATGGGCGGTCTGTGACAAAACACAAAGGCGTGACTAGCAACAAATAAGCGATTAATGTGTAGAAGTGTCTGCATCCTCGACCTCTTCTGAAACTGTTTCCATGGGAAATGAACAATGTTGTTTTTGTTGAGATTGAGAATGGTAGCCAGAAGTGTTGTGACACGAATGGAAGGTGTCCTATTAGGGCACGAAATTGGGACGACAACCTCGGGCAGAAGTTGTCGCCAGCATTACCTGCAATCGAACATTTATTATTTTGAAATGGGTTCGAAATCTTTTGTGAAAATGAACTCCGAAAATCATAGAAGTCAACTTTTATTAAACCTTAGTGACAATAATGAGCAAAAATAACCCTAAAAGTGTTGTCTGTTACACATTAACCATTACAGCATGGAAACAACTTCAGAAATTATTAGAAATCAGTGGACAATAATGACAACATCCTTTTACTTAGACTACGATCATTTTTTAAAAACTGCTCAGCTTAAACGAGGTTGGCACACAACTTTTATCCGACTAACTCTTCAACGTCTTCGTCTTCCTCAGAACCGACTAGCAGAGTCGACGGCCAATAGTCATTCGTCTTCTCAAGCCAGCGGCTTCGTCTTCGTATCGGATGGAATATTCTGCATGGAGCACCGCTTGAATGAGGCAACCTCACCAGACAGCGTTCTTTTATTCTAGATGGTTGTTGTTGATAATGACTATCTGCTGATAATAATAATGCTTGATACTTGAACGGTCCGTCCTACGAAGTTGTGCGGGCCCCAGCATAATCACCATTTTCGGAGATTTGTTGGTTAAGGAGATTGTGGCTCTCTGGAATTCCGAGGACAGCCTGTCCAAAGTCTGCCCCAGGTCGTCACCACGGCAGGCAGTCGCAGACCTTGTGGATCAGAGGGAAATTTACCACCATGCGAATTTGATACCAAGACGGTTTTGGATTCTGGTATTGGTTTACTCTTAGCTAGGCTTTCTGATGGAAACGCCGGACTCCTTCTCAGGTTAGGACATCCTACCGGGGAGACGAATACCCACGCTGTACATCGCAGTCCGACTCCCAGAAACACCTCCTAGCCACGATGAGGCGGTAAACCGTTGAGAGGATTATTATTATCATTATTATTATCATTATCAATCTCCCAACGGTTTACCGCCTCATCGTGGCTGGGAGATGTTCCTGGGTGTCGGACTGCGATGTACAGTGGGGGATTCATCCTCTTGGCAGGGTCTCCCAAACTGGGAAGGATTTCGGCGTTTCCATCAGGAAACCTAGCTAAGAGTAAACCAATACCAGGATCCACCACCGTCCTGGAATCAAAGTCGCATGGTAATAAATCTGCCTCTGATCTACAGGGGCTGCAACTACCCGTGGTGGTGAAGAGCTGGGGTAGACTTTGCCCAGGCTGACCTCGGAACTCCGAATTACCAGAGTGGCTAAACTAGCAAAACTCCGAAAATATGGAAATCATGCTTAGGTCCGCACAACCTGTGAGGACGGGCCATTCAAGTATTCAAGTAAGTAATGGTAGCAATGATAATAATGATAATAATAACAGCAGTAATAATAATGATAATAATAATAATAATGATAATTAATAATAATAATTAATAATGATAATTAATAATAGTAACGATAATTGCATAATGCGCCCCAATGGTAGAGACGGTGACTGCATGAGTTCGGGTACAGTCTATCTGATCACTTGTAAAGCGTGCGGAGACGAATACGTTGGCGAAACGGGTAGACCACTCTGCTTACGTATAAAAGAACACCTAGTCGGCAAACGTAAGCCAAGTACTCCACTAGGTATGCATAGCACGCAAAAACATAGCGGAAAAGATTTTGAAGTAAGGGTTACGATCCTCGCGCATGAATCGAGAACACAAGCGCGCAAAACTCTAGAGGCATTCTGGATAAATTCCAAGAATGCGAAAATGAACCGCAGGGAGGAATACCTTGTTATCACGCGTGATATTGGACAGTATATAAACCTGTTATTCTGATGGGAGAGGCACATCACGCTTCCATGTGAATTCTGTGCGGTCGGTCTTCACGCGACGTACTCAGTGGAAGACTCATAGAAAGCGGTGAGTGTGCAGAGCTATGCTAAATGTGATTGAAATCTTGGTTTAGAGTTTTCTCTGTTTGGTTATGGAGGTGTTTGGCCGAGTGGATTGCTGTCAACTTGACCCTTCCAGGCTCTGAGGAAGGCGAAATCCGACGAAACGTCATCTTGTGCGTAAATAAAGAAATAAAGTAGCAACTCGTGTTTACTGAACAGAAGTAGAAAGATATATATTCAATCAATGCCGAGGTCAATAGAAAGTCGGACTTGGGAGTTACTACAAGATGTACCAGCAAGAATAATAAAGATAATTAATAATAATAATAATGATAATTAGTAATAATAACGATAATTAATAATAATACTAAAGATAATTAATAATAGTAATGATAATCAATAATAATGATGATAATTGATAATAATAAAGACAATTAATAATAATAATGATAACCAATAATAATAATGATAATTGATAATAATAAAGATAATTAATAATAATAATGATAACCAATAATAATGATAATTGATAATAATAAAGATAATTAATAATAATAATGATACCTAATAGTAATAATGATAAATAATAATAATAATAATAATTGATAATAGTGATAACTAATAGTAATGATAATTAATAATAATAATAATTAATAATAGTGATAATTAATAATAATAATAATAATAATAATAATAATAGTAATAATAATAATAATAATAATAATGGTACAATACGGTGATAGTGAAGTTGGTCATCATGAGCATGGTGCTAGTTCGATTCCGATCCGGACCAGCCAAGCCTCTTATCCCTCTGATCCCTCTGGGGTAGGGAAATTGGTGCAGGCCTTGTCCGCGAAAAAGTCGTCCTCTACAATCCAATTTAGAACGCCCCAAATCGGCCGTCCTCGGACTCAAGGGTGAATAGACTCGAGCAACATTTTACGAAACTTGAGATGGAATGAATACCGTCAAGCAGCAGCCGAAGCCGTACATTAAAACTGGAAGATATTCGTGAACAATGGATGCGAGGAAACGAATGGAATCTGAGAAGGGTTGGGAACCGCACAGTAGACGTGAAGACGGGTCATAAAAAATAAAATAAGTTAAAAAATAAAGTGCTTTAACTCTACTGGTGCTTTCAACAATCACCCGTTAACGGGAAATTATGGACATGATTCCGAGCATGAAAATGGAAAAAATGAAAAAGAGTGGGCAAAAATCGGAACTGCAAGGATTAGCAAAATAAAAACATAAGAGAAGGCATAAATTTCATGTAGGCCAGCGGTAAGAGTACCTGGGCTTGTCGCGTGCCAGTGTTACTCATTTGGTTCAATTCGAGCAAATTTCTTCTTTTTTCAATATTTTTTTTCTATATCTACTTTCAAAAATCCGAAGCATTGGATCAGCCTCTTCTCATTGCGCTGTGGAGTTGACATGCCATTGAAACACGTTGTTAAGAGCCTTCCTTTACTGGCTGTCGTTGAGAAGAAATCAGATGTTCTGTAAATGTGATTTCCGATCTCTCGGCATGTGCACCACCATTCCATACCTTTATCGGTTGACATGAAGCGTTAAATTAGATTCTTTCTCTCATCTCTATATAAAGCGGGATTCTCCTAATATTACTGTCCGCTACCGTGTTGGATAAGAGCTGATGGCCCTTTCACTCCGCTTATAGAGTGTGCAAGCTTCCGAATAATAAGTGAAAAGTGAAAGTATAAAATGGAAGTAGTTAAGTTAAAGCAGTGTTCTTCCTTCTCTTCACCACTTCCGTGGCGATCTTGAGAGATTCCCAAGAAGTTTCTTTTTTCCTGCTCAACAATGACACGTTTCCAATTGTAAAAGCTTCTTATATTGTTGCCGAAGTAGTCGTAAAATCATCGAAAAATTCTTTGCAGAGACCATCCCAGTGTATTCCAAAAACTGCCGTTTGGTTTGCCCTTTCTTTGTGTTTAGTGGCCTAGAGCGACAAGCACTTTAGAGAGCTTCCCATCATATAATTCACTATATTGCTACACAAGGAACGCA